AGCCGAGCCGAGCCGGGGGGCGAGCAGGAGTTTTCCTGCCCGGCAGCTGCGGGGGAGTAACGGAGCAGGGTCCGCTCGGAACAAACAGCACTGCCGAGTCAAAGCACGTTCGGGGTGCGGTCTCAGCTCCCTCAGGGCACAGCCAGGGGCGTCCGGTGATAGCAGAGGGACGCGAACCAGGCACGGAGCCGGGTGGAGCCGTGAGCAGAACCGGGATGGCAGGAGTGGGGCTGCGGAGTTTACCTACAGCAGCACGCAGGTTGTGTACACAGCCACACAGTTTCTGTAGGGCTGCAGCTGGAACGCGGAGCGAGATAACAAACGCTCCGGGGGGAGAGCGGGGCAACCCTGCAGGAAGGCTGGGAGCGGAGCGAGATGATGAGCACTCCGAGGTAGAGCGGAGCTGCACGGCAGGAGGGCTGATAACAGAGTGCTCCGTAACTTATGTAGCAGCAAAAAAGTCTCAGCAGCAGCGAAAGGGTGCTCAGCGGTAGCGATATCTCGAGTCCACAAGCGGTGAAACAAATCAGGGGGCCAGCGGCCGCCTGGCCCTCCCGGCAGAGGCTTCTCGAGGTCCTGCCCAAGCGATTCTTGCCATCTTGTCGAGTTCTCTTCTATCTTCCTTCGCAATCACGTCGGGATTCCCCATATGTCGTGGGTTGAGGTGGTACACGACAGGGTTTCAGGATACCAGCTTGCTTTATTGCAGCAGTGTATCTACCTTTATACAGTTCTGGGTGACACATGTACATGCAGCATTGGTTTACCACTATCGTAACAACTCATGATTGGACACACAGCCACATGTCCTAACACAATAGGTTAACACTCCTCACAAGAAACCCACTCTGTGTTGCAGTCCTACTGTCCATGGTTAACGCTCTGCCAGTTGTAAGAAGTTCCATCTTCGGTATTTCAGCTTACAGAGCCCAGAGCCAGCTGGGCTCCCCCACATCTGGGAATATTTTACATCCCACTGGCTCCTTTTATACCCTTTCCTGTCCCCCCCCCGAGCAGTGAAGTGTGGGGACGGAGGAACACACAACGACCTCACGATCAATAAGCGAGTTCGATTTATTATCTATAAGGCAGTCATTTTATAACATGTGTAATAAGCTCATACATATTGCAAAAGCTAAGCTCAGGATTGGTTGGCCTTTAATATTGCTTACATACTGCTGAAGTTATGTCTAGAGTTTTAGTCCCTTTTCTTTTATCTTCAGTACCAAAATCCTTTTTTAGACTCTAGGTTCCCTCCCTGCTACATTCTCTCTGTCACATTCCCGTATTTGCTACATTCTCTGTCACGTCGACAACTTCCAAGGACACCATCCTTCAATGTCCCTTCTCTGTTAACCATTCTTGAGCCACACTGTCCAGAGACCCCCCCTCCACAGTGAAGGACCCAGGGGCTTCAGCTGCTTGTCCATGACCCTCTCCTGGTCCGACACCAACCTGTGCTCCTTGGAGTTTGTGTTTGGTTAGTCCCTTTTTCCTGTTGTACCCCCAGACCCCCAGATGCCACAGGGACTGCCCTGTGTGCCCCCTGCCTCTCCCAGCCCCTGGGGGGGCACCCCAGAATGCTCCAATCTGCCCTGCTTGGGGTCCACATGGAGGGGGTGAAGGGGATCTCCTGTGTAGAGACCTCCCAGGAGCCTCCTGAGCCGCTTTGCTGGACATGGGAACAGATACACATGAGGTCAGAGAGAGTAGCTTTGCTGAAGGGGTTTATTGATCATTCAGGGGAAATGGCCCAGGGCTGCCAGGGGATCAAGGCGGTCCCCCAGGGATGATCATCTCCTCATGCCACTGGAGAGGGACACGACACAGTTCCAGACCTGAAAGACAGAGCCCAAAATGTGACCCTTGATGTCCAGTGGCACATGAGAGGGGCCTTGTCCTGACCCCTGTCCCTGCAGGCGCTGCTCACCTCAGACATTCAGGGATGCAGCCACGCGTTTGTCTCGA